AGCTGATTGCGCCACTTCACTCTAGCCTGGGCAGCAGAGCAAGACCCTGACGCATACACACATACACAAAAAGATTTACCCAGATAAAGTTTAGGGAGCAAAAGGGAAAGGGGTGTCCAGATCAAGAAAACAGCGTTTGTGAAAAACACCAAGCTTGGTTCTTTGAGTGAAGCACACGTAAAGCATGAGAGAGGGAAAAATTGGGTACTTCTCAGAATCGGGCTCTGGAGGTAGCCAGACCCATGATAATGAAGTCCAAGAGACTAAACGTTTTCTTGTCACAAATGTTTAAGGATTCGGACTTTGTCCTAAAATGATGGGAAGCCATTAATGGTTACATGATGAGTTCCTAGTTCCACATGGTTTTATTTATTTATGAGACAAGGTCTCACTCTGTCACCCAGGCTGGAGTGCAGTGGTGTGATCTTGGCTCACTGCAACCTTCATCTCCCAGGTTCAAGTGATTCTCCTGCCTCAGCCTCCCGAGTAGCTGGGACTACAGGCACAAGCCACCATGTCTGGCTAATTTTGTATTTTTAGTAGAGACGGGGTTTCACCATGTTGGCCAGGCTGCCACGTGGTTTTAAATACGGTTGGTCCTCCCAATCTGTGGGTTCCACATGCATAAATTCAATCAGCCACAGATCAGAAATATACAGGAAAAAAAAAAAGGAGGGTTGAGTCTATATAGGAAGTTGTTTAGGAAAGAATGACAAGAAAATGTCTGTACAAGTCTGAACATGCATAGACTTTTTTTCTTCTCATTATTTTCTAAACAATGTGGTATAACAACTATTTACATAGAATTTACGTTATACTAGATATCATAAGTAATCTAGAGATGATTTAAAGTATACAGACAGAAGTATGTGTGCAGGTTACATGCAAATACTATGCCATTTTATATAAGAAAGTTGAGATCCATGGATTTTGGCATATGCAGGGGGGAATGGGAACCAGTCCCCCACAGATACCGAGGGATGACTGTACTTGAAGTTGCCAGAAATCCAAGCTCTACAAACTTTCTAAAATCTGCCCCCTGAAAAATAAACCCAAACCAGATTTTTTTTTTATCTTTTGCATTTGAAACAGATAGAAATCCATTTGTCCACACAGCAACTTCCAAATTTCCACTTGTTAACAGTTCATATCACTGTAATACCAGTATCTGTTTGATAAGTATAAAGTATCCTATTGAGAAGTCAATAAAAAATACTTGGGAGGCTGAGACGGGCAGATCACGAGGTCAGGAGATCGAGACCATCCTGGCTAATATGGTGAAACCCCGTCTCTACTAAAAATACAAAAAATTAGCCAGGCATGGTGGTATGCACCTGTAGTCCCAGCTATTCGGGAGGCTGAGGCAGGCTGCACTCCAGCCTGGTGACAGAGTGAGACTCCATCTCAAATATATATATATACACACACACACACACACACACACAAAATATATATATATACATAAAATATATATACACATTAAGTTAACTGTCTAGATATATATATAGAAAGAGACTACTATATTTCAATTTTTTAAATTTATTTTTGAAACAGAGCCTCACTCCATCACCCAGGCTGGAGTGCAGTGGCGTGATCTCAGCTCACTGCAACCTCCGCCTTCCGGGTTCAAGCAATTCTCCTGCCTTAGCCTCCCAAGTAGCTGGGATTACAGGTGCACGCCACCACTCCTGGCTTTTGTATTTTTAGTAGAGACAAGGTTTCACCTTGTGGGCCAGGCTGGTCTCGAACTCCTGACCTCAGGTGATCCGCCCGCTTGATCTCCAAAGTTCTGGGATTATAGGCATAAACCACCTTGCCCGGCCTAGACTACTACATTTCAGAGGTGCAGAAATCACTTAGTCAAGACTATAAGATGCCCCTCCAAAATATAACAAATGAATAGGTATAGTTGTCATCTGCTTAAGTGCTACAAATGACTCAAAGTTTACTACTTTTTAACCTTGTCCATTCTGGTTTCTTGTTTTGTTTTTTAACTACTCTGGCTGTGCACAAATTTTTCCTTCTGTGAGTGAAAATGTCTTTTCTGTAACTTCACTTCTTAGCCTTGTTCTGTTTTTTGAACAGCATAGAATAAGCCCAATTTGTCATTTTAGAAGTGGTTAATAGAAGAGCCTTTACCTAAAAACTAAGGTGCTCTGATGAAACTAGAGATCAGATTATGAATTAGAAAGTGGGACTATATGAAAAATCCATTAGGGTAAGCACAGTAGTTAGAGATAGTGATTCTTCTTTCTTCTTTCCTCCTCCTCCTCCTCTTCTCCTTCTTCTTCTTCTTCTCCTTCTTCTTCTTCTTTCCTCTTCTTCTTCTTCTTCTTTCTTCTTCTGTTTCTTGAAATGGAGTCTCTCTCTGTTGCCCAGACTAAAGTGCAGTGGCACGATCTCAGCTTGCTGCAACTTCCACCTCCCAGGTTCATGCCATTCTCTTGCCTCAGCCTCCCAAGTAGCTGGGACTACAGGGCCCCGCCACCATGCCCAGCTAACTTTTGTGTGTGTGTGTGTGTGTGTGTGTGTGTGTGTGTGTGTGTATTTTTAGTAGAGACAGGGTTTCACTATGTTAGCCAGGATGGTCTCAATCTCCTGACCTCGTGATCCATCTGCTTTGGCCTCCCAAAGTGCTGGGATTATAGGTGTGAGCCTCCGCGCCCGGCCTGGTAGTGATTTATCTTTTATTCCATAACAACTAATAAATAGCATAAAATTGCCTGTACTCAGAACTAGAGACTTGTTTCTTTCCTTTGATCCACAAATGGAATCCCTAATGTGTGAATCGCATTTTATTACAAATTCTGGGGGAATAAGTAAAAGAAAAAGAATATTCAGGTTATAAGATCTTGTGCTGTTAGAGCATATGATTTCTTTTGAGAGAAAAGATTTGTATGATGATGTAGATGTAATAGGTGAACACATGCCAAATGACCAGTATGCCAAGGGAGAGTTGGAGGAGTTCCAATAAAGAGATCATGGTGGGCTGGGGAGGAGTAAATCCTCTACCAAGAAATACCTGGCCAGATGCAGTGCATCATGCCTGTAATCCCAGCACTGTGGAAGGCTGAGGCAGGAGGATAGCTTGAGCCCAGGAGTTCAATACCAGTCTGGTTTAAGACAGGGTCTCACTCTGTTGCCCAGGCTGGAGTGCAGGGGTGCGATCTCAGCCCACTGCAACCTCCACCTCCTGGGTTTAAGCGATTCTCCTGCGTCAACCTCCCAAGTAGCTGGGATTACAGGCTTGTGCCAACATGCCTGGTTAATTTTGTATTTTTAGTAGAGACAAGTTTCACTATATTGCCCAGGCTGGTCTCGAACTCCTGGCCTCCGGTGATCTGCCCGCCTCAGCCTCCCAAAGTATTGGGATTACAGGTGTGATTCAATGTGCCCAACTGCTATACCAAAAAAAAAAAAGAAAATTGTTTAAATTAGCCCAGCGTGGTGGCACACACATGTAGTCTCAGCTACTCAAGAGGTTGAGGATATCATGAGCCTGGAAGGTCAATCCTACAGTGAGCCATGATTGTGCCACTACACTCCAGCCTGGGCAACAGAGCAAGTCCTCATCTCAAAAAGGAAATAATTAAAAAATAAATGCCTGACTCACTGAATTTCTCTTTAGAGTGGGATGGACCAGACTTTATTTATAATTTATACTCTTCTTCCTGTTTTCCATTTCTCTCTCTACGGTCACCCTTAGAAATTATTTGGCCTGAATGAGAAGTCAAACAGTATTTACTGAATAGAATTGGCTTATCTCCCCTGCTCTGTTAGTAATTTTATTTATTTATTTTTTTTTTTTCTGAGACGGAGTCTCGCTCTGTCGCCCAGGCTGGAACGCAGTGGTGTGATCTTGGCTCACTGCAAGCTCCACCTCCCGGGTTCACTTCATTCTCCTGCCTCAGCCTCCCGAGTAGCTGGGACTACAGGCACCTGCCACCACGCCCAGCTAATTTTTTTTTATTTTTATTTGTTTATTTTTTGTAGAGATGGGGTTTCACTGTGTTAGCCAGGATAGTCTCAATCTCCTGACCTCGTGATCTGCCTGCCTCGCCCAGCCACTCTGTTTGTGATGTTTAAGATGTTTCATTTTGGGGCTGGGCACAGTGGCTTACACCTGTAATCCCAGGACTTTGGGGGGCCAAGGCAGGTGGATCATGAGGTCAGGAATTCGAGACCAGCCTGGCCAATATGGTGAAACCCCATCTCTACTAAAAATACAAAAATTAGGCCGTGCGCGGTGGCTCAAGCCTGTAATCCCAGCACTTTGGGAGGCCGAGACGGGCAGATCACGAGGTCAGGAGATCGAGACCATCCTGGCTAACACGGTGAAACCCCGTCTCTACTAAAAAAATAAAAAAACTAGCTGGGCGAGGTGGCGGGCGCCTGTAGTCCCAACTACTCGGGAGGCTGAGGCAGGAGAATGGCATAAACCCGGGAGGCAGAGCTTGCAGTGAGCTGAGATCCAGCCACTGCACTCCAGCCTGGGCGACAGAGCCAGACTCCGTCTCAAAAAAAAAAAAAAAAGTTGCATTTTATAGTAATCTTTTTTCCTTATTCAATGTTTCTTTACTTTCTGAATTTTTTAAGTGAATATGAATTTTTTCTTTTTCTTTTTTACCAAATACCCAGACTTCAAGGAGAGAATACATATTTTTGAGCTAAAACACACATACAAAAATCTTCACACCTATTGTGGGAAAATATGCAAAAGCCAATTTTTTCAAGATACGTGAAAAAAAAAAAAAAGAAACTTTTCTTTCACTCTTTTGAAATGGGTTCTGTTAGGAGCTTTGCCAATGTACATTTCATGTCCAGCAGCTTCTGAATGGCTATCTTGGGCCAACCTTAGAGATTAAAATAAGTGGATTATGTGGCATGATGACAGTAATGAGCTATTGATTTAGCAGCAAAGCTTTGCTTATCATTTCTTATTTCTCTGTCTGCCTGATTTCCTTCAAGAAGTACTTTATCGTGTTTCTTTCCTCTTCCAGCGGAACGGAAGCCCCCCCTTTTCAACATGAATGCAATGAGTGCCTTATATCACATTGCTCAGAATGACTCCCCAACGTTACAGTCTAATGAATGGTAAGACTCTGCTATCATTTTAAATCTCTAAGAAAATCACCATATGTATTTGGCATTTTTATTACCTTACATTTTAAATATCTGACCTAGAAAGCATTTCTTTCCTTCACTGTGTGTTGTTATAGGTGACACTGATGCCTCACAAGCATCAACTGTCTACACATGAACACACGCGTAGATTTACTTATTTTTGCCTTCATCATGGCTTGCACTGTGTTCTTAGTGTGTCTAGTAACCGAAATCCTGCAGGGAACATGCCCTGCTACCCTCCTAACAAGTCTACTGTCCCAGGCCGTGATGGTCTTGTATTGATCATCTCAGCTGATATCACTTCTCAGCAGAGATAAGGGGCCCTCTATGATGTCATTATTTCTCCAGTTGTCTTTTGTTTTTTTAAACTACATGTACACTTAAATGTGTTGAGACAGAACATGCATTATCTGTTCAGATACATTGTGCCTTGCTGAAAAGTATGATATTTTTATTTGGGCCACAAGAGTTATTTTAAAAGGGGCAATATTAAAGAAGAGTGGATAAAATGGAACTTTTAAGATAGGAAGTGTTTTTATTCAGGAAGCCTACTCCTGGTTCTGCATTGCTCATGCTTCAAATTTTACTACTTTGTTATAGATTGTGGGTGATAGAGGAATTAACAATTGGTAATTAAGAATATAGAGTTGAGACTATAAGAATTGTTGTCTTTGGAGAGAAAAATGTACATAAAACTATTTTATATAAATGTAGTATTTTTGTTTTCTGATATATATTATGATTTGACCTTCCTTGTATACTAAGATGTATTTGTATGTTGACTGACTTGAAACTTGTCCTTAACTCATTATCCAAAAGAATTAATTTTAGATATCATAACTTGAAAATGCTCCAGTTCTCCTGATATTCTAAAGCATTTATTTTTTAAAATCTCCTTAAATGCAAAATTTTCTCTTGAATGAAAATTGTTTTTAGTGATCAGTGTGCTCTACAGACCCTGAGTTTATTTTCTTTTGTGTATTTGCACACACAGGACAGACTCCTTTAGGAGATTTGTTGATTACTGCTTGCAGAAAATACCTCAGGAAAGGCCAACATCAGTGGAACTATTAAGGGTAATTTTTCAAATTTATATTTGAGGAGGGGGATTTAAAGTCGTGTTATAGTGGAATATAATAAATCATTGCTGTGGCAGCCCATCATGACAAAGTGGTTTAGAACGTGCTGCCTTGTCATTTATCCAGAGATAAGTAGCTAGGCATAGAAATAGCAAGATTATTGCAACGTATGTGCTATGTATTCCCTGTGGATAGTTTTTCCCCTGTCTTTTCCATTTTTTCCCCTCCCTCCCTGTTCCTTTTTTACCTTATAACAAATAATATTTCTCCTCCCTGCTCTAGTCATCATTGCGATGTTCCTGGGCCTAACGTCTGCATAAACATTAATCCCATGGTCTCAGGACAGAGCTGGCCGGTGGTTCAAACACCAACTCTGGGATTTTCAGTTAGCTTGTTGCCAAATCCTCAGGCAGTGAAGGTATATGATAACTATATAGAGTAGACATTTACATAGTATTATGACATGTTAGTGATAAGAGTATCACGTTAACCACATTTATTTGATTTAACTGTCCCCAAGCATCTCTTTTCATGTAATATTTTACTGTGGACTTTATACATAGGCAGTGTGTTGCATCAATATCAGTGTAGTATGTGGAAATCTTTTACAATAGGAATGTTTTATTTGGCACACAATAGTCCAAATTTCTTTAATCCTTTTTTTGCATGTATGTTTTTCAACCCTTTCTGTTTCTTCCATCTCTAGAATGGCTGACTTTTATTGTGTAGCAGTTTTGTTTGTTCGTTTTTAAGAAAAACTCAGAAGAGTTGTATTGTCTCAATTTGTAAAGCTTTAAAATGTCTGCCTTTATAATTGAAGAACACCTTGGCTAGGTGACAAGTAAGTTTTTTCTTCTTGTGAGCGGTAGGCCATAGGAGTATGGTAAGAGAAGCAACAGGACAAAGGGCTTGATCTGGTTCTCCTTTGTTGTGGAGCCCTTACATGTTTTAAGCATGAACTACGTAGCAACATTTCCATGTTTCTTTAGGGGAAAATAGCAACCAGAACGAAACACCAGAAACACACAATAATATCTTTATTACCTTGAAGTACACAAAGATCTTAAAAACAAACAAACAAAAAACCAAGACATAAAAATTACTACCATAAAAGGGAAAAAAATGTGGAGCTGGGTTTGGTGACTCATGCCTATAACCCCAGCATCTCAGGAGGCTAAGGCAGGAGGATCACGTGAGCCCAGGAGGATTTTGAGGTTATAATGAGTTATGATTGTGCCACTGCACTCCAACCTGGGCAATAGAGTGAAAATACCATCTCTTTTAAAAAAAAAAAAGACAAAAGTGAATAAATTTGGGCTATGTTAAAGTTAAGGATTACAGACAACAAAAGGATATAAAAAGCAAATGGGTAGAAGTAAAGAAAAAAATGGAAGAGAAAAACATAACAATTTAAAAAATCATATTATAAGCAACGAACATGTAGTAAACCAACCCATTTAGGATGTTTTCAATGGTGAATAGGCTTAAGGAAATAAAATAGAATTAAGTGCAAAAAATAAAAGTTATAAAGATGAGTATAAAGAAAATGATACATTTGGAAGACACAGGAGATCTAATATATGCCAACCTATTATTCCTGAAAAAGAAAACAAAACACATGGAGCAGAAGATACTTAAAGATATCCTTGAAGAAAACTTTTCTGGAAATAAATGTTTTGATCTTTCTTTGATTTGATTCCATCAAATCAAATGAGCCAACTATTCATCAAATATTTACTGATTGTCTGCTGGGTGTCAAGTACTATTCTACGCACAGAGAATACAGTAGTACACAATAAAAACATAGTGCCTGCCCTTATGAAACTTACAAGAAAGGGCCGGGCACGGTGGCTCATGCCTGTAATCTCAGCACTTTGGGAGGCTGAGGCGGGTGGATCACGAGGTCAGGAGATCGAGACCATCCTGACTAACACTGTGAAACCCCGTCTCTACTCTACGAAAAATACAAAAAATTAGCCGGGCGTGTTGGCAGGCGCCTGTAGTCCCAGCTATATGGGAGGCTGAGGCAGGAGAATGGCGTGAACCCAGGAGGCAGAGCTTGCAGTGAGCCGAGATTGTGCCACTGCACTGCAGCCTGGGCGACAGAGCAAGACTCCGTCTCAAAAAAAAAAAAAAAAAAGAAACTTACAAGAAGGAGTAAGAAATAAGTAGGCTGGGCATGGTGGCTCACGCCCATAATCCCAGCGCTTTGGGAGACCGAGGTGGGAGGATCACGAGGTCACCAATTCGAGACCAGCCTGGCCAACATGGTAAAACACATCTCTACTAAAAATACAAAAATTAGCTGGGCGTGGTGGCAGGTGCCTATAATCCCAGCTACTCAGGAGGCTGAGGCAGGAGAATCGCTCGAAACTGGAAGACAGAGGTTACAGTGAGCCAAGATCGTGTCACTGCACTCCAGCCTGGGCAACAGAGCAGCACTAGGTCTCAAAAAAAATAAAAAGAAAAAAGAAAAGAAATAAATATATGTTATAGTGCCAGTTGATGGTAAGTGCTGTGCAGAAAAATAAATTAGACAAGCATCAAGATTGACAGGTGCTGCTGTTTTAGGTAAAGAGAAGGCCATTCAAGCAGGTGACATTTAAGCAGATCCCTGAAGAGTGGGGACCATGAAACTGAGCTTCGTTGATCAATAAATCATGTCCTGGTGAAGTCCCTGAACTCCAAGAATAAAGAAAGATTCATACAAACAGACTGAAAAAGTTTATTTTGGGGTGGATAAACCAGCTGGCTCCAGACCTACCTCTTCAGGAACAGTCAAAGCCAGAAAACAATAGAAAAATGTTTGCAGAGTTCTAAGAGAAATAAAATAAAAGCCAAGAATTGTGAGCCAGCCAAGGTGTTCTTAAATTATAAAGGCAGCTGACATCTTCAAACCCCATAAATTTAGGCAATGCAACCTTCCAGTGCTTTCCTTTTAAAAATTGATCAATAACAGAATCTAGCCAATATAGAGATGAAGCAAAAAGAAGAAGAAGAGGGAGGAAGGCAGGGAGGAAGAATGAATGAGGGACTGGAGAAACTGGTAGAAGGGCTGGCGGTAAATATTGAATTTAAAGAGGCCCCTTCTGGCCGGGTGCGGTGGCTCAAGCCTGTAATCCCAGCACTTTGGGAGGCCGAGATGGGCAGATCACGAGGTCAGGAGATCAAGACCATCCTGGCTAACACGGTGAAACCCCGTCTCTACTAAAAAATACAAAAAACTAGCCGGGAGAGGTGGCGGGCGCCTGTAGTCCCAGCTACTCGGGAGGCTGAGGCAGGAGAATGGCGTAAACCCGGGAGGCAGAGCTTGCAGTGAGCTGAGATCCGGCCACTGCACCCCAGCCTGGGAGACAGAGCGAGACTCCGTCTCAAAAAAAAAAAAAAAAAAAGGCCCTTTCCCAAATATTTATTTATTTATTTTGCATGGCTAACGAAGCTGTATGTTCTTCATTTTGAATAGGTCATACAGATTTCCAAAAGGAAAAATATAGTAGAAGGTAGAACATGGGGCTGGGCACAGTGCCTCACACCTGTAATCCCAGCACTTTGGGAGGCTGAGGCAGGCAGATCCCTTGAACCTAGGTATTCAAGACCAGCCTGGACATGACGAAACCCCGTCTCTGCAAAAATTAGCCAGGTGCAGTGGCATGCGCCTGTAGTCCCAGCTGCTTGGAAGGCTCAAGCAGGAGAATGACTTGAGCCTGGGAGGCAGAGGTTGCCGTGAGCTAAGATCCTGCCATTGCACTTCAACCTGGGTGACGGGAATGAAACCCTGTCTCAAAAAAAAAAAAGGAAGAAGAAGAGCCGGGTGCAATGGCTCACACCTATAATCCCAGCACTTTAGGAGGCTGAAGTGGGCAGATCACCTGAGGCCAGAAGTTCAAGACCAGCCTGGCCAACATGCAGAAACCCCATTTCTACTAAAAATACAAGTATTAGCCAGGCATGGTGGTTCACACCTGTAGTCCCAGCTAATCGGGTGGCTGAGGCAGGAGAATCGCTTGAACCTGGGAGGTTGCAGTGAGCCAAGATCGTGCCCCTGCACTCCAGCCTGGGCAACAGCGAGACTCTGTCTCAAAAAATAACAAGAGAAGGTAGAACATGAAAAAGAAATCTCCCTCCCATTTCAGGCCCCCTCACTAGCAACCACTGCACCTATTTTGTACCTCTCCTTCTAGAGATATTTTATGCATATAAAAGTAAATATTATTTTTATTTTTCACACAAATGACAGCAAACCATTAAAACCGTTCCACCCTGATTTTTCTTTTTACTTTACAGTATGCTTAGGATATTGTTTTGTATTACTACATACAAAGATACCTCATTCTTTTTAATGGCTCCATAATATTCTCAGATGGACCATAATTTGTTTAACCAACCCATTTAGGATGTTTCCAATCTTTTGATATTACAAACTGTGCTGCAATTAATATCCTCATGTATATGGCATTTTGTACCTGTATAAGAATATCTTAAGAATAAATTCCAGCCGGGCACGATGGCTCATGCCTGTAATCCCAGCACACTTTGGGGGGCCAAGGTGGGCAGATCACGAGGTCAGGAGTTCAAGACCAACCTGGCCAACATGGTGAAACCCTGTCTCTACTAAAAATACAAAAATTAGTTGGGCATGGTTGCATGCATCGGTAATCCCAGCTACTCGAGAAGCCAAGGCAGGAGAATCACTTGAACCCAGGAGGCAGAGGTTGCAGTGAGCCAAGATCGTGCCACTGCACTCCAGCCTAGGCAATAGAGCAAGACTCCATCTCAAAAAAATAAAAAATAAATAAAAATAAAAATAAATAAATAAATTCCTAGAAGTGGAATTGCTCATCAATGTGGATTTTAAATTTACATAGATATCGCCCATTTGTCCTTCAAAGCATTTGTACCAAGTTATAGTCCCACTGTGAAAGTATGAAGACTGATACTTTTTGAACTTTGTCAGATCAGTGAAAACTTTTCTCACTATAGTTTTAATTGGTATTTCT